AAGGGTAGAATATGGGTTTTAGGAAAATTTTGATAATTTGGATGTCATTAAAATTAAAACTTCTACTTTTCAAAACTATTATACAAGCTAAGAACTGGTGGCTCACACCTATAATCCTAGTTACTTGGGAGGCTGAAATAGAGAGGATTGCAGTTCAAGGCCAACGCAGGCAAACAGTTTGTGAGACCTCCCCATCTCCAAAATAACCAGAGCAAAATGGACTGGAGGTGTAGCTCAAGTGATAAAGCACCTGCTTTGCAAGCCCAGAGTCTGAGTTTGAATCCTAGTCCCACCCCCAAAAAAATATATTTATATACACATACATATATATGTGAAATATATATATACCTATACATATATGTGTGAAATATATGTATACACATATATATTTATATCTCATGTAGAGCCTCACAGGACAAGTCACAGGACAGAACATTCACAGTAAGTGTGCACGACAAAGGACTTCTATCCGGAATACATAAAGAACTCTTCCAAACCGATAAGAAATGATGGCCCACAGAAAAGTGGACAAAAGACTTGAATAATCACTTCAGAGAACAGTCTATTAAATGGCCAACACACATAAGGGGCTCGACTCACTAGTCATTTAAGAAATGCAAATTAAAACCCAAAAATAAAATAACCACTGTACACTTGTTAGCACGGCTCAAACTCAAAGGAATGATAAGACCAAGAGTTGACGAGGATGTGGAGCAACTGGAATGCTTCTGCACTGCTGGTGGAAGTGTGGAATGGTCTAGCCAATTTGGAGCACCGTCAGTGTCTACTAATGCGGGGAATTCCTGTGTCACGTGAGCAGCATGCCTATGAGTCAAGGCACACAAATATATGTGTGTTTACCCAAAGATGTGTATGAATGCTCACAGCCATAGCACTCAACATAGCTAAAGGGGGGCTGATGGAGTGACTCAAGTGGTATAGCACCTGCCTAGCAAGCATGAGACCCAGTACCACCAAAAAAAAAAAAATAGCTAAAAAGGATCCACATGGGAGAGTGGTTATAGGGGAAATGGAATACTATACAGCAATGACAAAGAGCAAACCACTTTTCTATGCAACAAAACTCATGAATCTCAGAATCATAATGTTGAGCCAAGAGCATTCTGTATGATTTCAAAAAGGTCAGAAGAATGGAGAAAGCTTTGAGACCTCAATAATAGGCTAGGATAGCTTCTCTCTCTCCCCCCTCCCTGTTTCTCCATCTCCCTCTCTTGCTGTTTGTCTGTGTGTATACAAATCCATATATATTTCAGAAAATTTTATGTACGTATGACTCATAAAAATTTCATATATACATACAGAATATATATTCTGAATTACATATAGTTCAGACATTTTTATATATAATTATATATAGTATGCAATTTTTTTCTGAATTATTTGAGAATTTGAGGTCTCCAGTCACTCATAAATATTTGAATACACATCTAAATATTTCTTTCTTTCCTTCCTTCCTTCATTTTTTTAGTACTGGGGATTGAGCTCTGCCACTTGAGCCATGTTTTTCAAATAGGGTCTCTAAATTTGCCTGGGCTGCCTGGAACCTCTATCCTTCTTATGTCCACCTTCTGAATAGCTGGGATTACAGGTATAATCCACTGTGCCTGGCACTATGTATTTAAGTATTTCAATGTGTATTTCTTAAGACTGAGGACTGTCTCTCCTATAACCACAGCTCAGTGATCTAAATCAGAAAATGGAACATTACTATAATAGCATGATCTAATCCATGCTCCATATTCTAACGTCTTTTGTTGTCTCAACACAGATGCCTGTTTCCCTTCCTCCCCATCTTCCCATTTTGCTATATCCAGCCAGGTCTGGTCCAGGTTCATGCATTGTGTTCAAGTGTCCTATCCCTTTAATCTCCTTTGATCTGGAGCACTTTTCAGCCTTTCCCGCCCTTGACCTTGTGGTTCTAAGTACAGGTCTGGCATCCTGTAGAAGGTCTATTTCCCAAGGTGAGGTTCAGGTTGCCTGTTCCTGGTAGGCATCCCATGCAGAGTGCTTGTATCCTTCTCTGTGCATGGTGTCAAGGGGCTCATCCTGAGGCTGGTTCTGCTCACTCTCACCTCTGGTTAAAGTGGTGCCTGTGTGGCTTTTCCGCTATCAAATTCTCTTTCTTTCTTTGTGCTGAGCAAGTAATTCACGGGCATGCTCCTGGACTTTCTATCCTTGCCTCTGAGGACCTGTGGTGGCCTGGACAAAGTGCAAGGGTTTGCAAAGCAGACACACTCAGTCCCAGCATGCTGGTTTGCAGTGCTGGACCTCACATGCAGTAGGTGAGTCCTCTACCGTGGAGCTACCCCCACAGCTCCATGAGATAGCATGGCTTCAAAAACCAAAATGGTGCCAGGAACTCTGCTAGATGAACCTAACGCATGCTCTCAGCTAAACTTCACAGCAACCCTGAGGAGAAAACTAAATGAACAGATTATACACCCACAGCCAGATACCTCAGAAACAGTAATAACTTTATGAAGTTGCTACTTGCCTCCAGTCAGAAAGAGCAGTAATAGTGAAATGGTTCACATCCTTTCGGTACTTGCAGTAGAACCTGGCCACAGGATAAAAGCATGCCACAGCGGTGATTTCCATCTCTAGTGTACAGAGGAGAAAAGCCAGGCTCAGAAGTAAGTAACCGGTAGTGACCGCGCAGGTGGCAAGTAAGATTTGCATCCGGGTACTCTAACCCCAAGGCCACTGCTCCATGTAAACCCTGTGTGTTGATGCTAAATGGTGGGGATACATTCACTCCTGTTTCTTCCTTTGCTTCAAGAACGAAGTCTTTGTAACCATCGGAGCCCATGGTGGCACACCGAGAAGGGGGTTTGCCTGGACCAGAGGAGAGGCACATGGAGGACAGGAGGGAGATGGCTGTGCTGCAAGCTGTGAGTGCCCCAGGAAAGAGAAGACAGGGCTCTGGTGAGGGAGGCAGGGCTGCAGAGCCTTTGCCAAGCCCATGGCATTCCACAACCCTCCTCCATAGCACACATTCCACACCTGAGGCTTCAACCCTGGCTCTGACTAGTGCAGGAGATGCATGGTAGGTCCAGAAGAACGCCAGATCTGGGTGTGGGACTCTCTCATGAGTTCTTGGATTTCCACCCAAGCCCACCAATCAGGGTGCCAGTTTCTGCGACACTCATCACTGGCCTGTTAGCACTGTCCATGCCTCCACCATCGTGCGGCCACCCTAATTCCTCCTGGGTGCTAGCCTTTTAGCGTCATTAGGCTGAGTGGAGGGAAGGCTGTGTTTACGGCTTGGCATGAGGGAAGACATGCAAATCTCGGTTGCCAGGCTACAAATGACTCTTTCTCTCCCCCCCAACACACATACACACCAGAAGAGAGAAATAATGATTAAAAACTACTCAGTTGCTTGGCAGGCTTCTGGGTGGCTTAGCTGTGAATATTTGGATGCTGGGAGAGAGCTTGGCTTTCACAGAGCTGCCACCTCTCCAGGTTCCCTTGACTCCATCCATCTTCTGAGGAAAAAGAAGGTGCTGACCTGTGATCAATGCAAACAACACCATCGTTTTAAAATGTTTTTAAGGAGATGCAACCCCTTGATGATCTGATCCCCCTCCTTGAAGGGAATAGGCATTTCCCCACAGTACCAAAAGCAGCCATATTCCCAGGTGGAGGACAAGGTCAAGTGTAGGGAAGGAAGGGCAAATTTGAGGCAAGAAAGCAGAGGTCCCGGATGGGGAAGATGTGAGGCCAGGAAGCAGTAGGGAATATACTTCAACTAGGAGCCTGGGATCCAGCCAAGATACCTGCTCTGCCCTGATTGTGGCCTCTTCCCTGGAGCCAGGTGGGATCGATGTCTGGTGTAAAAGCCCAGCGTCTGTTTGCATAGCAGTCTGACTTTTGCTAAAGGCTGGCTCACCTCCATTTGCAAACACAGGTTTGAGACACATGGCCACAGCACTAGAAGATTCTCAGTCCATATGGGCGGGGCAGCCCAACATGTCCCACAGTTCTGAATCTTTTATGTCACTCCATTATTTTAGTTACAAATAGCGTGATCAATGTGAATTCATTTGTGTATCTCTAAGACAGTGTGCAAGTACACTTACAATATTTTGAAAAAAATAGTCATCGTGAGACACTTCTTGGTTCATTTGGGCTGTTATACCACAACTGGTTCATTTATAAAGAACAGAGATTTATTTCTTATACTTCTGGGGGCTGGGAAGTTCAAAGGGCTGCATCTGGGAAGGGCCTGATCACTACATCATAGCACAAGGTGAGAGCTAGCAAATGATCGAACTTGCAGCCTCAATCCATTCTAAAATGGTATTGTGAAGATTTGAGCTCTCATGGCCTGAGCACCTCTCATCAGGCTCCACCTCCTAATGCTGTTGCATGGGGGATTCCAACACATGAATTTTGGGGTCAAGTTCAAAGCATAACAGGACTGCATATACCTCTTGTTATTGCTGCTTTGGTTTGCCTGATGGGGAAAGACTTTACCAGTCATTCAAAGCCCAGATGCATTTGAGTGATATGACATTCTGCCAAAACCTGAAGGCTGGGGAGTTATTATTTTCCCCTCTTAACAAAGGAGAAAATGAAATCTCAGAGTATTTGAGCTCAATCAAGATCACACAGCTCATCAGTGCTAGAAGTGGTGTCAACCTCCTACCTAGGAGAGCCCCCAGGTTATACATTTGCCCTTACAAAAGAGAACAACATTGTGCACTTCCCAGGGGCTCCCCAACTCCTGAAAACAAACCGGAAGTACAATTCCTTGAGCTTTTCTTTGTTGCCTTTGTTCTGCAGCCATTTTCATCTCACAAAGTGTGTCCCAGCAGAAAGAAGAATGGCTTCCCCAGAGCCACCTCTGCTTTGTGGAGACTTTGTCTGCATCCATGTCAAAGTTCAAAATGACTCTGTTTCAGGGAAATTTCTTTCCTGAGAAATCCTGACTCACATTTGGGCTGTATGATTAATCAGGAGGGATTTTGTGGCAAATGTCGTCTGCCGCCCTGCCATCCTCTCCAGCAGAGGAAGAAGCCCTGGCTCTGGTGGCCTTCAGTCTGCAATCAGGACGCCCAAAGGTGAGGAGTAATCAGCACTATTGCATATACCCACACAAAATCTCTCCTGTCAGCCTCTCCAAAGGGCCAGCTCCATCAGGGCCAACTCAAACCCGGCACCCCCACACGTGTGGCTCAAAATCCAGCGGAGTCACTCACGCTCATCACCTACAGGTTGATTGAAGTGGTCACCCGTTGAATAATTCACTCTCAGACTTGGGGAACTCCTGGAAATTGATGGTCCTGGCCATTATTTTAAAATGTACAGCATTCCACCCTCATAGCTGAGTCAGGCAAGTGGAAGAATGGCCGGGCACTGCAGGCTTTTTGTGGGAACGCACTTTCAAAGAGATAAGTTGGCTTTGATATTAGAGTTCAGTTTCCCTTGAGTCAAGGGTTTATTCCTTCATCCTTAGAACAAATATTTAGTGAGTACCAAGTACTATTGGAGAACATTGCTAGTTATGGCGATGCGGCCATGAAGAAGACATAGCCTCATCTCCCGTGGACTTGACATTTGGGCTCTGTGCTTGAGATCTAATGAGCCTGTTTACTTCCCTCTCAGGAAGAACAGAAGAATAGATCCAGGTACCATGATAGGAGCGCACTACATCTCAGAATTCAGCCTTAAAACTTGGCTTCTCTCATTTAGAAAACAAATGTCTCTGCACACAAAAATAGATGGGGTGGTGATGCACGTTGCTGGAACAGCTGCCTAGTGGTGGCAGCAGGTGCAGGAGATGGATGGATGTGAGAACTCCAAACCCTCACACTTACTGGTGGTATGACCCTAGACTGGTCAATGTCATCCTCTGAGCCTCAGTCTCCTCAACTGGAAAGTTAAGTTGATGTTGTCTTTCTCATAAGCTGGTCATGAGAAAGCAGTAAGATACCATATTCAAATTGCCTGGTGTTGGGCACAGCTCTGCACGTGCCGGTCTCCTTTGACCTTTTTCTTCAGAGCTGGGCAGTTTCCCAGATGTTGCCCAGGACCATGGCTTACCTCCATCCACTTTCCAGAAAAGCCTGGGACACTCTAGAGAGAAGCTACTTTCTTAACCCTAGTGATACTATACCTTTTCTTCCAATTTGGATCAGGTCTGAAAGTGAAAGGGAGTACTGCTCATAGCCACAGCTCGAAACAGGCAGAAGCCAGCACTATGTGAGCCAGCAAGAACCATGGTACCTTTCCACTGGTGGTCTTATCAACTGCAGAATGGGTGTAGAACAAACATAAAAGCCATTTCTCCCAGATCTGGACTCCTGGAGCTACCAGACAAGACTGCTCCTAACCCTTGTGTGCATAGTATCATAAGATAGCTACCCTGTATATTCTCCACCCTTTGAGTGTGAAGTGGAATCCATCTATGAGCTAGGCTGCCACTCCCATGGCTAGCTACACTTGGCAAAGAGAAAGGGATTTCAAAGATGTAATTAAAGTCACAAGCTAAGTCTAAGAGGAACTCATCCTGGGTGGGCCTGACCTAATCGAGTGTTTAGATATGTATGGGCTTGTGTGTGCAAGTGTATGTATATGTGCATGTGTGTATGTAAGCATGGGTATGTATGCCTGTACATGTGTGTGTTTGGGGCACAAGTATTATGAGTATAGTACTTGTGTATACTAGAGGTATCAGGTCCTTCCTGAAGAGGAAGAGAATAAAAAGTACAGAAGGAGTACGCTGCCATGTTGGGAGGGGAACATGTGACTAGAATCTAGAGGCAGTTTCTAGGGGCAGAGGGAAACTGGCCAGTGGCCAGAGTTGCAAGAAGAATTCTCCCAGTGACCCAAGGGAGGTTGGAAGCAAAGCTCTCCCTAGTTGAATCTCCAGATGAGAACAGAGCCTGGCTGACACCTTGACTGCAGCCTTCAGAGGCCCTGAGTGGGTATCCACTTAAGCCCGTATAGACTTCTCACCTGTAGAAAGTGACCTCGTGTGAGGTAACACACGAATGCCACTCCGTTTCTGGCAGGATATTAGGCAGCAGTAGAAAACTTATAGCACCCCCAAAATCACGGGGCCATAGTCATCCTCCAAACAATGGCTCAGACTGGCTTGCTTACCCACATATCACAGTCTCTTGTTTTCCCCAAGCCTGGGCTCCCAGTCCCCATCTCTAGGGGTGTCAGTCACTCCCTGCTTGAGTTCCTGGACTTCCTTGCACACACATCAACTCTGTCTTCAGTGCCCACAGCCCTGTGCACTGCTTGAACGACTTTGACCAGAAACACATTCAGGCAAATACATCTATATACTCAGAGTACTTGTGCTCCAAACACACACGTGTACAGCCATACACACCCATGCTCACATACACACATATACATATGATGCACTCGCACACACAAGCCATACATATCTACACATGCCCCCCACATTCATACGCAGCACATACATACATATGCATATAAGCACACATGTGCACACATGAAGGTGCACACTCATAAGCATGTGTCTTCAGGAAACCCATCAGCAGCTCCACTCAGCATGGCACTGAGACACTTGGGAGCTGGTTCTTATTATGCAGGACAGGAAGGCAGGTGAGGAATGGACAAAGGCAGCCTGTCCCCAGCCACCTATTGAGAACCAAGCCGACAGCACTGTGGTTTCCAGGCAAATTCCAGCTGCTTCACCAGCACCCAGGATACACAAACCCAAGAAGCCTGGTGATAATTTTTTCCTTTCAGAAGAATAACACAGGCTGGCCCCTCCCTGGATTTCCACATCCCTTGGCCCCACTGCTGGCCAGGCAATCCCGTCAGGATGAAGTGCTGGCCAAGAAGCCAGGCAGCTCCATCAATTTCTCCTGAAAAGCCCAGAAGAAATTTGGTCGTAGAAAATCCCTTCCCTCTTTGCTAATAAAACTTATCAGTGCAGGGCAGGAGGCAGGGAGGAGAGGGACCGCAGACACTTGCCTTGCTAAATTACTTCGAAAAATGGCTCTGATCCGCCATCCAGGGACAAGAAAGGAAGGAAGCAATATAACATTTATTGAGCTGAATTTTTCCACCTAGGTCCTCCCATTCAGTACTCTCAGGAGCTCTGTGACATAGCATCAGCTCCATTTCATATACACCAAAACTGAGGCTCAACTGAGCTCCTGAAAGAACCAACATGGATCTGAGCCCCTGCCCTGCTCCATGGCTTGCAGCATGGCTCAGGCTTGGTAGCTTCATCTCTCTGCATTGCAGCCCCCCACTTAGGACTCCAGCTCAGAGACAGGATGCAGGATGGAAAAGATGACACAGGCAATGCAGTGACGCAAGTCCCAGGCACAAAATTTCTCCAACGTGCTGATCTGTCTCCTCTGAGCTTCTGGACAGTTACCTACTCATATTAACCTGCGTTCTCTCCAGCACTTTCCTTGGTCATAGCTGTCCTGTAAGTTTACCCAGCAAGCACCAGGATGGCACCTGACACCTTGCCCCTCTTGCTGGAGACTGGGGAGAACCAGAACCCCACCTTCCTTCCATACACCAAAAGTAGGGGCATGTCATACTTGGTGAGGAGCACTCTGGCTGTTGTGTTTTCTTGCATTGCCCACACTTGATTTGTGAACCTAAGAAGACCCATGTTAGCCCCCACCAGGGGCCTCCTTTGCAAGTCTGTCATCTGTAAAACCTAGAGTTTGCCCAATAGCCTGGAAAGAATATGGCCTCTGGGGCTGTGAAACATGGAGATCCCAAGTAGGCAAATCAGTCTGGAATGGCATGGTCCTGAGGAAGCAACAGACTTAAAATGTAGGAGGAAATGTGGACTAAGTAAGAGAGCAAATTCCCCTAGGAAGAGCTATTAGGCTGTGAAATAGTATTCCACAGGAAGTGGTGAAGGGGGTGCCCGGAGGTATTTAAAGCCTTACTGGACTAAGTAATAGAAACTGCGTGGAGTGTGGAATGGCCGAGAACTGGCCTCAGGGGAGCAGCTGCGTGCCCTAATAGGTCGTCTCCATATAGAAGTAATTTCCGAGCCTGCCCTGACATTCCATGCTGCACTGCTCTTGCCAGGCAAAGAAGGTGCTCACTCACAGCTCAGGAAAAGCCACAGGGTGTTAAGTAGGCATTACCATCATTTTCTTAACAGGATGGCAACCCCCAGTCAACACATGTACCAACTCTGCACACTCCCTACCCAAATCCTAGCTGCCTTTTCCGTGGAAATTGACAAGCCAATCTTAAAATTCACATAGAATTACCAGAGACTGAAAATAGCCACAAATAAATGTAAAAAGCACCAAGTTGGAGGATTCCCACTTCTTGATTTCAAAACTTTCTACGAAGCTGCAATACTCAATATTGTGGGTACTAGCACAAGAACAGATAGATAGACAGATAAATCAATAGGATAAAGTTCAGAGTCCATAAATAAAATCCTTACATTAATAGTCAATTGATTTTTGACAAGTATGCCAAGACAATTCAATGGGAAAAGAATAGATAAACAAATGTTGCTGGCACAACCGAGTATCTATAAGCAAAAGGATAAAGTTGGACCACTACCTCACACCATATACAAATGGATCATAGATCTAAATATGTAAAACCCTTAGAAGAAAACACATGTAAGTTTTCACCACCTTGGATTTAGCAATGGTTTTTATAAATCTGACAGTGAAAAAGCTACAGGCAACAAAAGAAAAAAAACAAATTAAACTTTCTCAAAAGTAAAACCTTTTGTGCTGTTAACAATATCATCAAGAAAGTGAAAAGCCAAACTACAGAGAACACACACACACATATTGTATAATCCAATAACAAAAAAGATGAATAACACAATTTTTAGGATGAACAAAGAATTTCAATAGATGTTTCTCTCCAAATAAGACACACAAAAGGCCAACAAACATGTGAAAATATACCCAGCCTGGTTAGTTATTAGGAAATGCAAATCAAAACCATAAGGAGATACCACCTCACATCACTAGCATGGTTAAGATAAAAAGAAAGTAACAAGTGCTGACAAGGACACAGACTGAACTGGAGATCCCAGTCATCATTATCGGTGAGGATGCTGTAAGTGCAG